GACAAGCAACGAGTTAACAATGTTCAGGATCCCTAGGTTAAAGTGTGAAGTCCCTGATTGATAACTAACAGTTAATATGCTTGACTGCTAACCCAAAGGTTCAAGGTTAGAGTCCACCCAGAACCACCTCAGAAGAAACACCTGACCATCTTCTTCCAAAGTATCAGCCACTGAAAACCATATGGAGCACAATTTGGTTGCATGAGTCCAGAATTAACTCAATGGCAACTACTAACTAGTAGCTAAAGAGTTGGAATCTTAACAGCATCTCTACCCAGGCTCTTAGTCTGCAAATGTCATCTGAGTTAGTCCTCAACATCTCTTTAGTCAATGTTGCTGTTGTTAGGTGCTGTTGTACATAGCGACCCTATGTATAACAGAATGAAGCACTGCCTGGACATATGCCATCCTCACGATCCTTGCTATACTTGAGCCCATCATTGCAGCCACTGTGTCAATCCATCTCATTGAGGGCATTTCTCTTTTTCTTTGACCCTCCACTTGACCAAGCATGATATCCTTCTCAAGGGAATGGTCCCCTCTGACATCATGACCAAAGTAGGTGAGACAAAGTCTGGCTACTCCAGCTTTCAAGGAGCATTCCAGCTGTACTTCTTCCAGGACAGATTTGTTTGTCCTTCTGGCAGTCCATGGTACTTTCTGTATTCATTGCCAATACCACAAGTCAAAAGCATCAACTCTTCTTCAGTCTTCCTTATTCACTGTCCAGCTTTCATATGCATATGAGGCAACTGAAAATACCATGGCTTGGGTTAGGTGCACCTTAGTTTTCAAAGAGACATCTTTGCTCTTCAGCACTTTAAAGAGGTCTTTTGCAGCAGATTTGCCCAGTGCAATACATCGTCTCATTTGACTGCTGTTTCTGTGGGTGTTGATTGTGGATCCAAGTAATAGGAAATATTGAAAACTTCAATCTTCTCTCCATTATCATGATGCTGCTTATTGGTCCAGTTGTGAGGATTTTCATTTTCTTTATGTTGAGGTATGCAGATCGCAGTCTTTAATCTTCATCACTAAGCACTTCAAATCATCTTCACTTTCAGCAAGTGGTTGTGTCATCTGCATATGGCAGGTTGTTAATGAGTCTTCTTCTAATCCTGATGCCACGTCCTTATTCATATGGTCCAGCTTTTTGGATTATTTGCTCAGCATACAGATTGAATAAATATGGTGAAAGGATACAAACCTGATGCACTCCCTTCCTGATTTTAAATCATGTAGTATCCCCTTGTTCTGTTTGAACGACAGCTACCTGGTCTATGTACAGGTTTCTCATGAGCACAGTTAAGTGTTCTGGAATTCCCATTTTTCTCAATGCTATCCATAATTTGTTATGATCCACACAGTAGAATGCTTTTGTGTAGTCAATAAAACACATGTAACCATCTTTCTAGTGTTCTTTGCTTTCAGCCAAGATCCATCTGACATCAGCAATGATATCCCTTGTTCCAGGTCAATAGCTTTAGTCAATAGCGAACCTAAACCTCTGGTAGGAAATAATGATGAAAAGCCTGCCATGCTCAGACAACACTGGCCATGCTTAGAACACAGAGTGGCATTTATTTTCATCCCATTGAATTACTCTGGGAAATAAAATGTGAAGGAAGCGCAACAA